CAGATACTTACTAGCTGTGTGACCCTGGGTAAGTCACTTAACCCTGTTTGCCTCAGTTTCCTCATCTGTAAAGTGAACTGGAGAAGGAAATTTCTAGAGCAGTAGTACCTCGAGGGAGCTCTTGTGAGGGATCTCAGACTTAAGGAATAGTGCCTGGGACACTGACACCTGAGGTCATACAGCAAGGCAGGCTTTGAACTCAGCTCTCACTCCTGCCTCACAGTACATCTCTTCTGCCTCTTCTCCACAGCCAAATGCCCTCATTTAGACCCAAACCAGTGATCCCAACCAGTATCTTACCTAACCTGTTTCTTTTTGATCATTGAGCCATCTCCTGCCAAGTCTGATGCCTGGAAGATCAGGTCAACCTCTTTCTGAAGAGCTTTCTAATTCATTTAATTACCTAGACTCATGAAATACAGGTGATACAGGCCTGGAGTCAGGAAGACCCATCTTCCTGAGTTCAAATCTGGCCTCAGACCTTTACTAGCTGAGTGACCCTGGGCAAGTCACTTCATCCTGTTTGCTTCAATTCCTCATCCATAAAATGAGCTGGAGAAGGAAATGGCAAACCGCTCCAGGATCTTCGCCAAGAAAACCCCAGATTGGGTCACGAAGAGTAAGACAGGACTGAACAACAACAACATGGACTACATGACAGAGGTCATAAGTAAAGTGAGTTTTCTGAGGACAAGGCTAGGGGCTGCTCCTGTATCCTCTCAGGACGCAAGCCACCTACAGTGAGCAAAAGCCCTACTGGGCTGGGCAGTGGTGGAGTAGGGCATCCTGTTGCCAAAACAAGGTGGGAGAATCAGCAGTTTCTAATCTGGGAGGACTGAGGAGGAGCAGTCCCAGATCCTGCCCTCAAGGAGCTCTCCACGGGTACAGCGTGTGGCCTAGGAATGAGATACTCCCTTCACATAGACTGAGAGCACCTGGCATATTCTAGGTTCATTTAGGACTTAAAGGTTTGCAGAGAACAATCATCCTCCACCATCCAGGGGAGATTCTCTCCTGAGGTAAGTACTACAAGTGTTCTTGCCCCCATTTTTCAAATGAGAAAACTGAGGCAAAGAGAGGTGGAGTGACTTATCAATGGTTATATAGCTACTAAGGCAGAATTTAAATCAGTCTCCCTTTAGCTCTCTAGGACATGGGGAGGGGGAGTTACAAGAAGACAAATTTCAGCTTATACTGGAAGACTGCCTGAGCTTTTGGAACTGTCCAACAGTGGGACAACCGACCATATCAGGTAGTGAGCTCCCTGTCCTCAGAGGTTTTCAGAGAGAGGTCAGAACAGTCCCAGTCTGAAAGGCTTCAAGGGAGATTCCTAGGGTGAGTAGGGGGTGAGATGGCGATGTTGAACTGGCTACCTTCTGAGATCACTTTTTTTTAATAAAAATACTTGGCTGAATCCATGAGCCCATGGTTTGGGGATTCCATCCATCAAGGCCCATGTAACGCCTTCTTATGCTGTAAATCTTCTCACCAATCCTCCCACTGCCCCCCCCCAACCTGTTGGGGCCTTCTTCCCCCATCTCTGAATGCACTATGGCCCTCAGAAGTCCTAGGAGCCGGGGGAGGGTTGTGCACTACAATAGGGGCTGACCATGTCCCCGCTCCACAGACCCACACAAAAGTCCAAGATGATTGGAGTTGGCGCTGAGGGGGAAAGTGGATTTCTACTTGTGCTCTGGGATACAGAGAGGAAGGTGGGGGAGGGGGGGAAGCTTCTTTGTCTCTAGAGAGAAAAAAAGGTCCCAGAGCGCTCTGACCTCACCTTTGAGATTCAAATGTGGTCAAGTGAAAAGGCTGGAGGATGGGAAACAAATGAAGGAGAGAGAAGAGGCACCAGGGAGGGAGGAGGGCTGCCACCTCAAGCCTCCTCCCCCTCTTCCTCGGGCAAAAATAGGGATGATGGGTATAATGGGGTGGGCCTCAGCCCTAGTGTCCCAGCTCCTGCACTACAGCTAGAATATTTAGATCCTATACACACACACACACACACACACACATACACACACACACACACACACACACACACACACCCATCCAGAGTCTGCCCAGTACTGGATTTAAAGGCTCCTAAGCCATTAGAGCTGGAAGGGACAGGAGAAATTATCCAGACCATTTCTACATTTTACAGAGAGTAAACTAAGTCTAGAGTAGGGGAAGAGACTGATGGAAGGTCATGTATGGAGGGACTTGAACCTAAAACTTTGGCTTCCATATCCACTGGACAGCTAGCCTGCCCTTCCTCCTCATTTTAATAAGAGCATTCCCCCATTCTCCCTCCCTGAGCTCTTTATTGTGGGCCTCTCTCAATGTACTCCTCATTTAATTGTAGCACCTTGCTTTAAGCGACTGCCCCAGAGGAAACTCTGTGGGTACCCATTCCTTTTTTTTTTAAATTAAAGATTTTTTTTAACTAATAAAAATAATCTTTATTTCTTCCCTCTTTCATTGAAAAAGAAAAGAAAAATGAAACCCTCATAACAAATATGCATAGTTAAGCAAACCAAATTCCCAAATTGGCCGGGTCCAAAAAAATACCAATCTGCACCCTAAATCCACGGGCTCCCTGTCAGGTGGGTAGCATGGTTCATCAGGGGCTTTCTGAAATCATGCTTCATCATTGTCTTTCTTTCTTTCTTTCTTTCTTTCTTTCTTTCTTTCTTTCTTTCTTTCTTTCTTGCAGAGAAAATTGAGGTTAAGTGACTTGCCCAGGGTCATACAGCTAGTAAGTGTCTGAGGTTGTATTTGAACTCAGGTCCTCTTGACTTTAGGGCCCTTGCTCTAACCACTGTGCCACCAAGCTGCCCCCAAGTCATTGTTTTAATCAGAGTTCTTTCCATCTTTTTTGTTGTTACCATGTTGTTATTGCATAGATTATTCTCCTGGTGCTGCTGACTTCATTCTGTACCAGTTCATACAAGTCTTCCCAGGTTTCTCTGAATCCATCTTGATAATTTCTTATGGCACAAAAGTATTTTATTACACTCATACGCTTTAATTTGTTTAGCATCTCCCAATTCCCCAACTAATGAACACATCCGCTTCATTTCTAGTTGTTAGCTATCACAAAAAAGAGCCACTATAAATATTTTTGTACATGTGTCCTTTTCCTGGGTACCCATATGGTGTGCTTTCCACTAACAGTCAGCCAGTAGGTACAAATGATTCTTAGCAAAAGCATTTACTATGATGGCATAGTAAGGAGAGTCAGGTTGTCACCAAGCATTTATTAAGTGCCTACTATGTGCCAGGATTAGCAGGTACCAAACATTCCCCAAAATAAACTTGGAATGCCTTCTCCCCCAAATACATGCAGCACAAATGAGTGAGTACAAAATCAGGGTACAATGTTAATGGGTCACACAGGTATGGAATGTGTATAATAGCCAAGGTAACTTACAACTCCTGGCAATGTGGGGCTTCCCTTGGGTGCAGCATCTCTGTTAGGTGGGTCACTCCACTGGGTTCCCAGTTTTTATTCTTCTCCACATTGCCCCTCAGTTGACAACTCTTCATTCTGGAGCTGTCTCTTCTTTGTGTTCGAGGGTTCCTTCCTCAAGTTCTCCTCCCCCTTCAAGTGATTTCAGTATCAGTGGGGGTCTCTGCTCCCACAACTGTGCCTCAAACTGATGAACTCTCAAATTGTTCAAGGGAGTGTTTCTGTCTAGACAACTCAGATGTAGGTGGTTGGTTCAGTAAAGAGAGTACTGGGCCAGAAGTCAGGAAGACCCGAATTCAAATTCTGCCTCAGATGCTTACTTAATACTTAATAAATGTTTATTGAATGAATGAATGAATCTCTAAGCACACATAGAACCAAAGGTTTAGAGCTGGAAGGCACCTTCATGGCCAAAGGATCCAAACTCTTCATTTTACAGAGTAAGAAACTGAGTCCCAGGAAGGCACAGGGACTTACTCAAGGTCTCACAGATTCCTAAACGGTGCACCCCAGATTCTAAAGCACGCCTTCTAATTCACAGTCCAGTGCCCTTGCCACTACACCAGTCCTTAGTTCCAACTCAATTTAAGCATTTACTAAGCGCCTTTTACTTTGTTTGCCCTAAGGAGTTCTTTCGTGTGTAGTTGTTTGCACGTGGTCTTCCCCATTAGAATTCAAGGCGCTTGAGGGCAAGGGTTGCTTTTTCCTCTCTGTGCGCACAGGGTGCCTGGCCCATAGTAGGCATTTAATAAATGCTCATAAACTTGATTTGCAGGCCCCGGTGCCAGGCCCTGGGGATATAGGCTCGGCCCCTCAAGGAGCCTCAGTCTAGCCCGGGGCTGAGGTGTAACCAGGGCAGTATAACCCGGGGGCAGGGGGAAGCAAGACCACCCACGGGGCGCTGGGCAGAGCTGGCCAGAAGGACGGGGACTGTGAGGGCAGGAGGAAGTACACCCAAAGCTCCGGGCTGGGAGAGCAGGAGATGGAATACCGCAGGCTCCGGGAAGCCCCCCGTGGACCAGTTAGGCTAGAACCGAACGTCAGGCTCAGGCGCTTGGACCTCACGCACCAGGGAGCCATCGGAGATTCCTGAGCGACACGGTCAGACCAGAGCTTTGCGGATGGGCGGAGGCAGGTCGGGAATCAGCGCAGGGGCCCGTTGCCATGGTCCAGGAGAGGGGCTGAGGGTGAGGGATGATGCAGGGTGGAGGCAGCGGGAAGGGAGGGTACAAGGAAGGGGACTGAGAGAAGGGGGGGAGGGGGGAGGGGACGTGGTGGGCGTGTCCTAAGCCTTTGGAGGGGCGGTGTCACGTTTCTGGGGATTCTCTCAAACTGCGGCAGTGACTCCGCCCCCAGGCATTGAGGGCGGGGTCGCGGAGGCCGGAGCCCCCTCCCTTTCTCCATGCCCCGCCCCCACCCCCGCCCCGCCCCGCCCCTGGGGCCCCCGGGCAGCTTCTGAGCTCTGCCTACCGGACCCGGCCGGGCGGGCGGAGCCGGGCATCCAGGCTGCTGGAGGGATCGCAGCCCGAGCCGGGGCCGGGGCTGGGGCCAGAGCGGGGCCCGACAGAGGCCAGCTCGGCCCCCCAGGCCCGAACCATGTCGGCCCCTCGCGGCGGCTTCTACCGACAGGAGCTTAACAAGACGCTGTGGGAGGTCCCCGAGCGCTTCCAGAGCCTGAGCCCCGTTGGCTCGGGGGCCTACGGCTCCGTCTGGTACCGGGCGGGCTGCAGGGTTTGGGGGCTGGAGGCTGGAGGGGGAGGGCACGTGGGGAGAGGGGCCCGGGGAGGAGTCGGGGTGGTGGCTGGAGAAACACCCCCCCCAGCCCCGCCCTGCCCTTCCAGGATCGAATGAATGAATGAACGAACGAATGAAAGAGGGGATGAATGGAAGTTCCCTTCCCCCGCCCTGCCAGCGCAGTCGGAGGAGTCCCGGATACCCCCAGCCCCCGCGCTGGCTGGCAGGAGCGTCCCTGCATCTTACGGAGGAAGGGACTTCTGGACTTGTGGCAACTCCTTCTCCAGACTGCCCCCAGCCCTTTCAGAAGCCAGAGCTGGGGTGGGGTGGGAGGACCGAGTTCTGGGGCTGAGGTCATTAGCTAATGCCAGAGATAATTCAAAAGCCCCTTCTCTTGGGGGTGGGGGTGGAGGGAGGCAGCTGGGTACATACTGTGTGACTGTGGGCGTCCTCTCTCAGGTTAGCCTGATGTCTGTGCGTCCCAGCTCATACTGACTTCCTGGGGCCTGGTGGGAGCCCTAGATAATGGGGGGAGGGGGCGATAAAGGTTCCATAGTGTTTGATCGTCTGACCGGTCAGCTCTTGGCTCTGTCTCCCCCCCTAATCGACCACACACATGCTGACCCCAGTCCCCTTGTGACCATTAGGGATTCTGTGAGAAGGCCAGTAGGGCTGAGGGGTAAGGCCTTGTGTCAGAGAAGCCCAGGTTGGAGGTGGGGGAGCTCCCGGCCCTGGGGGCTCCCTCTTCTGAAAGGCAGCCACAGCCCTAGGGGCTCTCCCTTCTGGGGACAGATACAGCTCTGTGGGAGTGCCCCTTTGGGGTGACAGATGCCGCTCTGTAGGAGTCCCCTTTCTGGAAGAAAGCCATCACTCAGAATGGGGGCCAGGGACAAGAGAGATGAGCCCAGAGCCGTGTTCAGGGAGCAGGGAGTACAGACCTGGACATGGGCTGGACGTGGGAGAGCTGAGCGCTAGAAGTATGGGAAGGAGCTCCTGGTGAGGGGTGGGCAGCCAAGGCTCAGGGAGAGCCAGGCTGGCTGCAGGGGGCACATAGGGCCCCACCTTGACTCTGGGCAAGCTCAGGCTTTGCAGACTCACTGTGGTAACAGCTGTAGCCAAGCAGAGAGGAGCACGAGGAAGGGACTGCTGGGAAGAAAGAGAGAGGTCTCCGGGCACTTCCCCAGCTCCTGAGAGGAGGCGGGCATCCTCTGTGGAGTTCTGGAGGTCGCTTGTCAAACTTCTAAGGAAGATTGCTGAGCACCTACTGTTCGTAGGCCACCTCTGAGGAGACAGTTGAAAGAGGCTCTCGTCCTGCCCCCAGGGGGCTCACCTTCCAACAGAGAGATGTGACCTAGACCATTGCAAGCAAGGGGTCTCAGAGACCTAGGCCAAACAGGAGAAAACTGAAGCCAAGAGAGGGCAAATGAGATGTCCAAGCTCACACAGGGAGGCAATGGCAAAGTTAGACCCCAGGGCCCCTGAATCTCTGGCCAGGGCTCTGGGCACACTGCACCAGGATGTTTCTGAAGTCAGGGATCCAAATGACTCCCCTCCCAGGCAGGGAATCAGGCTCCTTAAGAAGGGACAGACGGGGGCTCTGCGGATGTGGGAGTTGGGGAAGACAGTCTAGCCCTGGGAGGTTAGACCCTAGCAAGGAGGTTCAGGGAAAGTACTCCAGAGAAGAGAAACCTCCGTGGGCCTTGAAGTATGGATGTGATGCCAGTAGAAAGAGATATGGAGTTTGGAGGGGGGTGTACCAGGCTGTGGGAACAGTGTGTGCAAAGGTGTGGAGAAAGGAACTGGCCTGGCTAGTTTGTTTTCAAAGCAGGAACATCTGGAGTCTGAGGGAGAATAGTAAGTTACAAGCTAGAGGCAGAGGTTGGAGCCTGGCAAGGCCTTTATGTCAGGCTGAAGTGTCAGGACTTTTTTCTCCTTCAGGTCCTGTGGAACAATTAAAGTTTCTCGAGCAGGGAAGTCACATAATTCAAGTGACGGCTGTAGGCGAATGAACGGGGAAGTCATTGTCAGTCGGCAGGGGCACTTCAAAGGAGAGACATCGTTTCTGACCCTGCCTGGCTTGTTTGACTTCACAGATCAGGGCAGTGGCATAGAAAGTAGATTCCCGTATTTCAGCACAGCACTTGACAGGTTTTCCCAGGATCTCTGTGGGCACAATGCAGGCGGGAGAGATTCAAAATCCCCAAGGGGCAGTGATTAATTGTCAATGCTGACCCAAGGAGGTGTTTACCAGAGCGCCCCGAGGCTCTGCCTACAGCCTAGCATTCAGAATAGTCCTTTGCTGTTTGGCAAAGACTGAAAAGACAAACTTATCCAAGGAGTGAGCTGAAGCTCACAATACAACAGCTAAGAGTGTCCAAAATGGTCTTGACAGGTTGGGCTGAAACTAACAAGAGGGAATTGAATAGGGAAAAATGTGAAGTCTTATGCTATGATTTAAAAGATCTCTGCATACTAGATAGCAATTTCTGTTAAAAAAAAAATGTGAAGATATCGGTGGACTGCAAGTTCTAGCATTCATGCCAAGAATGGATCTTCTAGCGGCCATTGTTCCAATCCTCTCATTTTACAGAAGAGGAAACTGAGGCTCCAAGAGGACAAATGACTTGCTTGAGGTTATACATGTAACAAGTAGCAGAGCTGGAATTCAAACTCAAGCCCCCTGATCAAATTCAGTTCCCTTTCTACGACAAAGCACAGCCTTAACATGAGTCAACTCCAGGACATGGAAGCCAAACGTGGAGCTCACCGTTGGGCTGTTAAGAGAGGCAGGATGTCCAGGAGTAGGAAGGTGCTGGTCTCACTGTCCCCTGTACTGCTCAGACCATGTCTGGAGTCCTGTGGTCAGTTCTAGGGACCCCCTATTAGGAAGAATGTTGACAAACTGACCAGCAGCCAGAGGAGGGTGGTCAAAGTAGGGTGGGAGCCTCCCCAGAAATAGGGCAGTTTTGGGGAGAAGATACCCAGCTCCATTTGGGGCATGGGGAGTTGGCAGTCTCTGTGGGACTCCCAGAAGCTGAGGTCTCCCAGGACGGGTGGTTGGGAGTAGGCCAGCCTGGAGCTTGGGACCTGGGTCTCCCTGGAGCAGTTGACTTGAAAGATCCAGGCTTGGGGGTAATGGAGAGATACCCGGAGAGGGCTGTCTCTGCCCAGCCATTGGAAGCTGAATGGGAGGAGGGCTACCTCAGCCTTGGAGAGACCTGCTGGAGCACTCCAGTCCTGTACCTTTGACCTTTTTTGTAACAAGAAACTCCCTTCCTCCCTCTCCTTACCCACAGGCAGGAAGCAACTTCCTCAGGCCTGCCCTCTCTACTTCCCCTCATTGTGGTGCCTCAGGCCCCTTGCCTCATAGCTCTCCCTCCCCTCCTAACCTGGAGCAACCCCCAAAGGGCCTGACCTGACCCTGGCTCGAGCCCCCCCCCCCCACCAGAGCGGAGTGAGTGAGATCACTGAGTCGATGTGGGGCTGCCCCTCCAAACCACTGAACTCCTCGACTGTCTCCCACCCGGGTGATATCCCTCCCCTTCTGGGTCACGTCTCTGCCCAACTCAGTTTGGCTGGGCTTCAGCTAAGACCCCTCATCCTCTCCTCCAAGAGTCCCCAGTTTGGGGGTCAGAGGAGGAGAAGACTAAAGCCCCTCCCTCAGGGAGCTCCTAGCCCAGGGGGACAGAAGAGGCAACCCCAGAGCCTGCAGCCTGGGAACCAAGAGTAGTGGCCCCAGGCTCTGGGAGCTCTGAGCCCCAAGGGAAGGCTCCAGTGTGTCCATACTCTGGGGTAGGGGGAAGCCAACATCAGTACCTAGGGTCTGGATCGAGGAAAGATGGTCATTGCCTGAGTGGCTGAGCCAGTTGGGCAAGTGACCCTGGGGTCTTGGGGGCCAGGTTGAGCTCAGGTGTGTGTGTATGTAAATACTTAGTACCTGCCAGACTGTCTGGCTCCAACAATTACTGTTGGTCCCTAGGGACAGAAATCAAGCTGCCTCTTCCCTTGGGCTTGAGTTTAATAAGGCACAAATGAAAAGTAGAATCGATGACAAAGCCCAGAGAAAGTCCGTGACAGATAATAGCATGGCATGTGCTTACTGACCCCACATCTGTACCCCAACACGTCAGCCGGGTGCTGTGCCCTGCGGGAGCTCCCAGTCAATGAATGCTGGAGCTATGTCCAGGATCCAGTTCTACCTTCCTCTCTCAGTACCAGGAGCTCAAGGAAGGAGGGGGCCAGAGCTCCCTGGAGCTGGGCGATCCTGGTGGCTAGATGATCTCCAAGTCTCTGAGGTCAGCTGAGGCCATGAGGTAGGGAAACTGAGGCCTGCTCTGTTCCCAGAGCACTGACCTTGGTCTTAGAAGACTTGGATTAGAATCCCAGCTATGAAACTCCTTAGCTGGGTGACCTTGAGGAAGCCACCTATCCTCAGTTTCCTCATTGGTAAAATGGGAATCATAATATTTTCAATACTGTCCCCTCAGGGATGTTGTGACACAAATGGGAAAGCTTGGTAGAGATCCAGTTGAAAGGCCATTCATTCATTGAGCACCTACTTGTGCCAGAGCCTGGGTAGGGATCTGAGCCCCTGCCCTCAGGGGTTTGTGTGAGCTGTAGATAGAACACCTTTGTACAAGTAGCAAGTACTGAGTATATGCAAAGTCATTCCAAGGTCTAGGAGCTGGGCTTTGAGGGACAGCTACAAGACTGAGGTGAGCAGAGTGGATTGCAGATGAGGGTGTGTTGGGAATGCAGGAAGCCACTGGGATAAAGGTATAGGAACAAGAGATGACTTGGCATGTGCGGGGGACAGTGAGGTTAGGGAGACTGGAACAGCGAGTATATGCAGAGCTGTTTTATGAAAGGTCAGAGCCAGATTTGGGGGAGGATTAAATGCCAGGCTGAGGATTTTGTATTTGATCCCAGAGGCAATAGGCAGCCATTGAAAATGTTTGAGTAAGGGAGTGACAGTCAGATCTGTGTTTTAGGAATGCCAACTTACTGGTTCTGTGGAATGTGGATTGGAAAGGAGAGAGGATGGAATTAAGGGTGCAATAGCACAGGAGGAGGGCAACGTGGGCCTGAACGAGGCGGGTGGTCATGTGAGGAGGGAGAAGATGGGAGAGCTGTGTAAGGATGACTCAGAGGCTGAGAAGCTGGGAGGTTGGAGAGATGATGGTGTCCGTGACAGAAGCAGGGAAAATGGAGGTGCAATGGGGTTGGGGAGAATGTAATGAAACATATCTTCAGAGAGTTGGAAGAGTGTTTAACAACCATTTGGTCCCATCCACACCCCAAAAAGGAGACAGAGAATTCAGGGGATGCTACGGTCAAATGAGGGTCAAGGAATGGGTGAGGGCTAAGGATGCAGGAGAGGTGGGCACTTCTGTCGGTGGTAGACAGAGCCAGGGTAAGGAGAGGTCAACGATGTGTGTGAGAAGGAATGGCTCAAAGGCAAGCTTGAGGATGGGATGGGACCAAGGCCTTAACAAGAAGGACTACCTCCTCAGGAGACTGGCATGAAGGAGGAGAGAACCTGGGCTCATGTAGAGGGGTTTTGAGGTGTGATGGGAGTGAGGAGAAGAGGGAGCTCATAAGAGGTGGCTTCTGTTTTCTCAGTAAAGTAGGAAGTAAAAGCCTCTGCTGAGAGGGAGGCCTGAGGGATGGAGTAAGGTGCTGAGGGAAGAACGGAAAGTTAGAGAGTGGGATAAAATCAATCGGGGCAGAATGGAAAGATCACCGTGCAGCAGTGAATGCTCCTTCGTGGTATTCACTAAGAGCATTCAGAAATGAATGAGTAGGAATGAAAAAGGCAGATGGTGGCAGTAACCAAGGACTGGGGTTTAATGAGGTGGGACTGGTGATGACAGGGTGGTTGATGGTGCTGGGTTGAACTGATGAATCATAGAGGCCAGACTGTGAAGGGAGGGAAGAGAGATCGGAATAAGGACAAAGAGGGGTTTCAGAAAGGCGAGGCTGAAGGAGAGATTGAAAGATAGGAGGTTGTGGTCAGTGAGCTGGACCATGGAGGTATGGTCAAAATCAAGATGATGGCCAAGCTGGAGGTGGAGTGAAGGTGGAGGAGGTCAAGGGAGGTCAGGAGATTGGTGGACTGAGAGGCCAGAGTCTTCGAAGTCACAGCCATAGCCACGAGCATGAGGGCAGCGATTGGGCTGAGAGACTGAGCCATGCTGAAAAGGGGGACACGGGCTGGAAGCTGGTAGAGAACAGTGACGAGGAGTGGGATTGAGATCAATATGGAAGGAGTGACCAGCGAAATAAAGGCAGCAGCTGACAGGCAGAGGGACTTTCTGAAAGCCGGTAGGTGTCAGTGGGAAAAGTGAGTGGAGTCAGGAAGACTTGAGTGCAAATTCTGCCTCCAGCACTTATTATCTGGGCTACCTCTGCTGGCCACAGGCTCGAAGATCCCTTTGAGCCTAGCTCGAGGATACTGTAAGCAGGAGGACTGAGTGGAGCCCATGCCTCCCCTCCTGCCCAGGGCCTTGGGGCAGGATAGGAGAGAAGGAATGGCAAGGCCTGGACAGGTTGCCTCTCACGGGTCAGCCTCTTCACTGACCCTGCAGAAGGGGCCCCCGGGGCCCGGGCCTCACTGCTCCTCCCCACAGCTCTGCTCTGTCTTGTCCACATTTCTGTATGGAGGTCTTCCTCTTAGAGCCTAGGGCCTTCTCTCTTCTTGCCCCATTCCTAGGGACAGATCTTGACCTTCTCCTCTTGTGAGCGTGGGGCCAGTCTAGGACTAGCTCCCATGACCTGTGCTGGTCCTCAGTGTCTTCTTGTCTGGCCTCCTTCTCTGGATGCAGAGAGGGACAGGGGGACAGGATTTCCCATGACCCAGGCCCGTTTTCTACTTACTCCATATTCTCCTAACCCGTCCCCATCACTAACTTGGCCTGTTTTACAGCTCTGCATATGACACCCGCACTCGGCAAAAGGTGGCTGTGAAGAAACTGTCCCGGCCCTTCCAGTCCTTGGTCCATGCCAGGCGGACATACCGGGAGCTCCGGCTGCTCAAGCACATGAAACATGAAAACGTGAGGAGCTTCAGGGGTCTGGAATCTGGGGGGAGGAGGTCTGCTGGGGTTTGGAGGCCCCTGACAGGACGCCCCTTGTCTCTACCCAGGTCATTGGCCTGCTAGATGTCTTCACACCAGCTACTTCCATAGAAAACTTCAATGAAGTGTGAGTGGGGTCTAGGGGTGCACCTGCCCAAGGCCCAGGGCTGAGATGGGGCGATAGTACAGTAGCCTGAGGCTATGACTCTGCCCTTCTCATTGGTGAGGGGCCTACCTGATCCCTGATCCCTCCTGGAGCCCTCCCTATCCCTGGACCCCCTCCTCTAGTCCCTGAGTCCTGGGCCCCCCATCCCTCATCCCTGATCCCTGGGTCTCC